GAACCTCGGGAAGACCCCGCGCTGGCGGCCGCCCCCGCCGCCTCCCGGGCGAACCCCACTCTGGTTTGAGCCGGTTTCCCCGCCCCGCCCCCATGCGCACTGCGGCGGGAAAGGATTCCCCGACCCCGGGTGGGGGGTGTGATCCACGCATGCGCACAGAGAGGGCGCTCTGTGTGTGAGAACGAGAGATCCACGCATGCGCACAGAGAGGGTGCTCGGCCCCAGCCTGAGCGCGGAGGGAAAGCCCCGGCGCGCGCGTCCCGGCCCAGACACATGCGCAGAGGGGGCCCGGCAGTCGTCCTGGTAACGCGTGCAAGGGGGGCTGGGAAGGCTCGGGACTCCCCGCCCCCTCCCTGCCGGGGATTCCCAGCTGTGCGTGCGCAGGCGCGGCCCGGAATTTCCCCCCCCACGACGGGGCGAGGCCGCGTCGACTTTCGGGGGGAGTAACCGGAAGTGGTGGCTCCCGCCCTCCCCACCGCCCCGCTCCGCTTTGCCGGGGCGGGGTCCTGGCCCCGGCTCCCGTCAGTTTTCTAGGGAAGAAATGGGCGAGGCCGTTAGGCCCGGGTGGGATGGGAACGCAGGCCTGCTGGAGCTTCGCACCGCCCTTCCCGGTCCTGCTCCGCTGCAGGTAGCTCCTGCTCTGGGGCGGGCCAGGCCTCGCGCTGGGAGGATGGGGGCCGCGGGACACGGGCGGCCTTTCCCGGGGACGTCCTCCCCGTCCACCCGCGGGCCGTGCCGGGCGCGGGGCTCCTGGGTGCAGGGCGCCTGGCAGCAGACCTACGTGGCCCGGTATGTACTTCCACCCACTCCCACCCTCATGCCTCAGTTTCCCCGGCCGGGAAGCCACACACCCGTGCCTTCCCTGGATGGCACTGCCCGTGCCACCCTGCCGCGGCCCACGGGGTCGGGGTGCAGATGGCTGCCCGCGTCTCCTGCGGCGCGGCGCCCCGTCCTCACCCCACACAGCTCCTGTGGAGGCCGGAGGAGCGCAGCCAGGCTCAAGTCCCACCCGTCTTCCGGCCCTGGCCAGCGCAGCGGGCTGCGACATCACATCGGCCCCAACGCCTTGTCCACCGCTTTATTGGGAGCTCGGCTCCGGGGCTCTAGGCGTGCGCGCACGGGGACAGGGTCACGGAGCGGGGCCCTCCGGCGGGAGGGGGCGGTGGTGCTGGCGCGGGCCCCGGAAGGGGCCAGGGGCCCCGAACTCCGCAGTCCTGGGAGCCGGCCGGCCGGAGGGCGCGGGGCGGGGTGGAGGCTGGGCCGTGGGGCGGCGCCCCGGCTCCGCTCACTTAGGGGCGTTGAAGGGCAGCGCCCGCTGGTTCATGGGGTTGTCCGGGGAGCGCAGCCATTCCTTTTTCAGCAGCTGCTTCAGCTGGGACAGCCGCATGTTGGGGTTCTCCTGCTTCAGTCGGGGCAGCTGGACCTCTTCGAAGGCGGCGAACGCCGCTCGCATGCGGCGCTCGGGGTGCCGGTCGGCCTCCTCCGCCACGCTGCGAGTGGGCAGGGGGCGTCAGGGGGTGGGGCGGGGCTCGCGAGCCCGCCCGGGGGTCACCCCAGACCCCATCAGCCCGGCCATGGTGGTGCGGTCCCCAGCAACGCGGTCTCGCCCAAGGCTATGCCCCCAGGCCGCAGCCCCCTTTGTCCAGCTCTGCCCCAGATATGGTACCCGCACAGGGCTGGCCCTGCCGGAGGCCCCGCCCCCAGAGCACCCGCCCCGCCCCCAGGGTACCCAGCCCCTGGCCCCGCCCCCAGGGTACCCAGCTCCCGGGCCCCGCCCCCAG